CCTGAGGTATTTTACGTTCAGTAGTACCTTGAATAGGAGAATAAGGAAAATAAAACAGCTTTGTTCAACCCTGGAGAATGAGTTTCTCCAGTTGTGATGCAGACAAGCAAATGATTGCAGCATATAAAACTGGCAGAGCAATCCCTGGGTTACGTGTTAAGTTTGGGGACTGAAGCCCGTTCAGAGTACTAATTGCAAATGAACATCCTTCTGAAATACCAGCGAGTCTACTCAGGTTTGGGCATCGCACTAGGAATAACAACTTCAGCTCAGACAGGAAGTTATCCAGGCAATGAATTGTACCTGCTGATGTTTAAAATACACCACTGTGTTTTGAAGAGTATGGTAGCAGCAAGCAGGTGATGGTGCTCCATGGTAAAGAAAGAAATACTGCATTGTTTGATTAGATAAAGATCAGAGGTGTGTGATTTTTCTGGAATGTTTAGGAATAAATGGGAACAATAAAGCAAGCAGTGCTCAAATTGCAGTTCTCTTCAGTTCCGATCACAGCACCTGGGAAGTTCTTGAATTACAATTACTGCCCCAAATTAAACGTACTTTCATTAGAAACCAACTTTTGTGTAGTATTTCTCAAAAGTTACAAAATTTTACTATCCAAATCATATTGTTTGAATTCTGTCTCTCCTGCATTCTTAAGTACCTTAACTCTGGCTTCTTGGTATCATTTCTGTTAGCATAGTGAACAAAATATGACGCCATCTCCCTTGGATGTTTTTTTTTTTAATGCTAAATGATGACTGAACAAAATCCAGAAACGGTCTGGAATCAGGAAATGGGCCCAGGAAATTCATCAGAATACAGACCTGCGATCCCTACTTTGTGTCCTTGCTGCTCAGCTCTTTTTCTTTTCATAGTGACATTTTCCAAGGAAAGAGAGTTTTCTTATCTGAGTAATGCTGTATCCAAGGAAATGCACATCAGGCTTCTCAAATCACAGCTAAAGGAAGTAGTTAGGAAGTTTCCTTCTTTCTTCTCTTCAGCCCGTGGTAAAGAGCAATTACACAGTAGAAGCTGGGAAGCCATTTAGAATACCTCTCATCTGGTGGTTAGGTAGGGCCATCTCCTGGGAATTAAAGAAAGTTATAATCTGGGCCTCCACTTTTTTCCAGCCAGAGTCAGTAAGTAGATCTAGAGTAAGGAATTCTTTCTCTGTAATTTTACTTGTTGTAGAAAGCAGTTGACGACGCTGCTTTATCAGAAACTTGTGTTATTAAATGAGAAAACCCACTTAAAAACTCACTGAGCAAAGAGAAGGAATTTTCTTAACAGCCTGATTTAAACATGAAATATACACTGAGCTACTGAGTCTTGCCATATCTAAGATATTTCTGTCAATATGCTGAAGGTCAGTTTCAGGCATTCCTGGTTCTTTACAGTAAGAAACAACAGCAGTTGTGGAGTTGGAATTTCCTTGTGTCAAGCAGCATTTGGGAGGTTTTGTGTAGTAAGTTATGTTTATTTATAATAACACCTTTTATGGCTTCGCTTGTAGCTGAACAAAATCGGACACTGTCAAATTGGTGTGAACTCAGGACATTAAATGTACATCTGCTGATAGATTTGTATCTATACTGAACAGTTAGTGGTGACAGCTTGCATTTTACTGCACCCTTCTTCCTTTCATGCTGCACCCAATGTTGGGTGAATCTAGGGGATCAAACGGCAGTAATCTCACGTGGGCAGACCAGAACTGATGTTCTTTCTGTATTAAGAATCTCTGTACTGGAGAAGAGCACCTAAAACCGTTTTTCATTTATCTTTTGCTAGGAATCTCATTTTGCAGGCATCACAGCATTCTTCTAACAGTTTTGTGCTTACTGGGATGTTTTTCTTTGGCTTCTCACAAAAGGAGAGCAGGTTATGCAGAGAAATAGTGAAAACCTGACTAGCTGTGGTCCTGGGGTAACCTACTCCATGTGACCCTGCTTGTGCAGGGGGGGTAAGATGGGTCCTTTCCAATCTCAACCACTTTGTGACTCTGTGGAAAGTGTAGAGGTAAGCACACCCATGGTAGAGCTTGTTGAAGATTATTTATAGCCAGGCTATTTAAAGGCACTCCTATCAAATAAAAGTTTGGCCCTAATTTCATGTAATTGTTTGGGATATGCATCAAAACTGTTTCCAGCAGCGTTTCGGTAATACATCTTCACCATATGAAGGTCCTTCAGAAATTCCCTGGTTTATGCAGGAAAATGGAAATTTAAAAACAACTTTTTTAACTGATTACTAGGTCTGACTCTCCGGTAGGGACCAGATTTACTGCTAGGAATAAAAGTGTTAATTGACCAGGAAGAATTAACAACTTGTATGTTGTCTGAGCTGAGCATTTGTCACTATTTTCTTTTTAGAAGATAATCTGACCAATGAATGGCCGTTACATGCACAGATTTATCTTCAGGATATGTCCTGGATTGAAGGTATGAATGCTTTCTTGTTCTTAGTGCCTTTCACTGTCACATAAAACATTTTCCATCTTCTTCTGCATCTTCTACCTTTCCTCTCTTCTTTTTTTTTTTTTTAATATTTTCCTCAGATTTAGTTATTCTGTTCTGTGATTACTTGCTATTCTTCCATTTCTCTGCTAGTTCCTGTCAATCCTGCCTTCCAAGAGTTGGCTGAAGCCCTTTTGCAGCACTGTTGAGTTGAACTGGCACTTGACTTTGTGATACTTACTTTGCATTCTCTCACTTTCCTCCCCATCCCTGCCTCCAGCTCCCCTTTTGCTTGGACACAGATCATTTTTCACCTAGCTCTCTCTTTGGAATACAATTGATTTTATTTTTCTGGATTCTCCCAGAATTTCTCAAGCATCTTACTGCACTTTTTTTACGATAATAGAATGCATTTTCTAAATACACATTTTTCCACCTAACAGTGTGTTACTTTTCTCCTTTATATTAGTCTAGCTTTTATAATTTATTTGCTTTCTAGAGTAGTAGCTGATTTTAATTTATTATTTTTTTAGAGTTGGGGATGGGGGAAAGCTTAACTACTTTTCCTTCCTTTTGTTTCTTTCCTGAGTTAGCAGTCTGTTTTGGAACCTTGACCTGTCACTCGTGTGACAAACACTCCTTAGTTTGTTCTCAATTGCAGTCTAAAGATGTTGGTGCTTTGTCAGAATCAAGTTCTCCTTTGGAGCATTCAGTGATGCAGTCCTTACAACGTATCTCTGTTTCACTGATAAGCACCTTTTTATATTTGTTCTTCTAAAGAGACTACACAGACTCTGGCTGTATTGCATTTAGTGTCTCACAGTCACAGAAACAAGAATACAGCATAAGTACTGCATTCACAGTCCAGCATTGAGGGGTCATGCACAATTTGTCAAGAGCAGCTCTGTAAAATAATAATCCAGAATAAATTCCCGATTCATCTTGAGCACTGAAGGGTTTTTTGTTTCCTTTCCTTGGCAGATGAGCAGTGTTACACCCTTGCATGCCGATGCGGTGGGAGTTACTCCGTCTCCAAGAGCGAAAGCAAAGATGTATCTTTGGTCTGTTGTGACACATGTTCCCTTGTTATTGAGATCCTGCAGTGAGTGCTGCACACAAGCACACCCAGTTAGGAACTTTCAAAACATTGGACGTGCAGGACAGCATCTCACAGGACAGCATCTCACAGGACAAACGGGACAACAGGGATGCTCCGAGAACAAGCTCAGTCTGTCTCAAGAGAGGAAGCGTGCTCATTTACTGACCTATCTTTAAAGACATTCTATTTGTTCTTTTTTCTCTTCAACCAAATTGCTATTTATAAAAAACTTCCAGAACCCAACACTGAGTTCTGTACACCTGGACTATACCTAAACAACCTTTCTTTCCCAGCAAACAACAGAGTGGCTTCTTTCAGTCTCTGTCTTTTATCGACCGCAGCTTGGGCCTTCCCTCTTAAGTAAGTTAAATCCTTTTAAAGTCTCAGATGACAAAATTTAATCAGGAGGCATACGTGTGAGAATGCTTTGAAGATAATGAAGAATCAGGGGTATTAATGGGAAATGGAAATTGTAACAATCAGAAGGATCAACATGATGGAATGGTTGATACAAGAGGTGTAACGACAAAGGGAGTAACAATAGAAAGGTGTTATAAGGGAAGGGAAAAACTGCTCACTTGTCTCCAAAGATCTAGGCTCAGAGGGATGAACTCCACAAAGGAGGAATCTCCAGGAAGAGAACCTTCCTCAGTGGCAGTCAGCCCTTAAATGAGGTCTAAGAGAGGTGCAGCCAGGCTCCACTGCTTCCAGTCACACAGCTGAATTGCCTTCACCTGTGCTCCCAGGACTGACCGGGTCCTTTCCCCAGGCTCTCCAGCAGTGGTTCAGGCCATGACTCAACAGTTCCCATACAGGAATATTTTCTATTTCAATGCTAAACATTTAAATTAGCTTCTATTAAATCTCCGAAAAGGACTTGAACCCTAGAAAAAGGCGACAGAGGTCTGCAGACGTGGCTGGGTGTTTCTCCTGGTACAAAGAGCACGTACAGTGCTTGTTCACCAACACTGCACCTACATCAGCTTTTCAACTTAGAGCCAGGAGTGCACTGTTCTACTGACTCCATCCATCATCTGAACAAATGCAGGCTTCATTCCTTATACGACTCCTACTGGGCATGCAAGCTGGGTCAAAGTGGAGCAAGCTCAAGGAAAATCCTACAAAACACATACGAGTAAATGGGTATCAGATCCACAGCTTTTCTGTTTAAGCCCTAGCACGCCACAGTACTTGCTGATGTAGGTATAGCCTGTGTGTGGCTCTGGCTGTGTGACGGTGTAATAACGCATCGCCTTCTTCATGGCTTGTTCACAGTCAGAGTTACCTTTGCCTTCTAGTAAAATTCAAAACTTTTTTTCATAAATCCAGCATTTACTGTAAGCAGCCAGAGGAAACAAAATAAGAGGCATATCACCGTTGATGATGACAGCAGTGTGTCGTTCCCACTTTAAAGTTAGATATGATCGCAGAAAGAAGAGACATCCTTGTCAAGCAACACTTGTGTTTATTCTAAACAAAAATAATTCCATTAGTTTCAGTAGAAAATATTTCGCAAGCTGGCAACAGTCATTTAATTCTTTCAGTCATCAAGAAATCTATGGCCGTTGGGGCTTGCACGTAGAAATCCAAAGTCATTCAGAGGCCATATCTGTAAAATAATGAGATTTTTATCACAACTCGAAGTTCGGTACTTTCATTTGTAATGGTTGGAAGTTTTCATAACCTGAATCATTTTTATAACACAAGGATTGAAACCTCCCACCTGTGTGAGAAATATTTACTGTATACCAGGAGAAATCCTAATTGTGTCGTGGCTGGAGACAACATTATTTAACAGACATCATACCTTCCTATGGAGAGCTCCCAAAGCACAATATCTTTTTTTAGCCTTGGAAAGAAATACATTCCTAGAAAATATTTTCTAATTTCAACTGTTAACTTAAAAGACATGGTATATATATTTGATTCATCTAGGAGAGGAAAATAGCATGACCGTTACCTCTCAGTGAAAGTGTTCCTGTGAGGTACACATTGGTACTTTTAAGATGAGCATCTGAAATACACTGAAGCTTGAACAAAGAATTCCATGGGCTTACAGGTAAGCTCATACCATGCAAAAAGGCACAGAGGGGAGGAGTGCCTGCTGCCAGGAAGTGCCCTCAAGCAAGGGGCGCCTCTGAGAATGTGACAGTGGAAAGAGCACAAATCAGAATCACGTACAAGCACAAGTGTCAGAGCGATGCTCACAAGAAGGAACTCAGATGTTTACAGATGTTTATACTACTCGATGCTCCCAGGAGAACTTTCTTAACGCATAGTCACTAATTACATGTAGGCTGGCTGGTCCTGGGTGCAAAAAAGGTAATGTGAAATCAAGAATAGTCTTTTACAGTGTCTCCTCTGACTGCCTCTCATTTCTCTCCATGTTCTTTCAAAGATAGCACTGGGAGATCAGCAGAAAGAAGGCAAAGAGGCAGTGCTGAAGAATGAATGTTCTGTTGTGGCTCTAATCCTATAAAAATGTCACAGCCCCTGCTCAAATAAAGCAACCAAAACACAGAAAGATGATGTGCTATCTTGTTCCCAAAACATCTGTTAGTATGATGTTTATGTTGTTCATCTTTCCTTCAGATTTGATCTTAAGGAAGGTATGCAGTCAGGAAGAGTAAATTCCTATTCAACTGAATTTATGGAATACCCACAGCACAGAAGGAGCCTCACTGCCTTCTGCATGAATTTCAAAAGTATTTTTTTCTGCTTGCAAGGAGAAGCACAGTGCCAAGGTTCAGTATCTCAGTCTCTGTGACTTGTCCTCAGTATTCCTACTATATTACAGAAGAGGCGAAGGCAAGTAAGAATGAGAGACTAAGAAGGAAGGAACAGCATCAACTCACTACTACATTTAGACAGTGCACTGCTGGAAGCTTGGATGAACTTGCATCCATCAGGCCCCTTCTAGCACTGGTTAAGTTGCAACAACTCAATTAGATTGTACCTAGGCCCTGAGAAAATACAAGGATGAGTTATTGCCTGGATATCGAGTTCTCTGGATCTGAAAATGGCTTAAAGCTCTGTTGAACAAGTATCTTTGAACACACACGTCTTTTTCTAGCACATGCAGCTAGGGAAGATCATGAGGAGCATCTGCTGACAGACAGAAATACACGTCTCTACATGCACACTGACCAGTGAGCTAATTTAAGTTCTGCAGAAGTACAGAGCGTTATGAAAGAGTAACAGAAGGCTATCTGTGAGTTTGGCTAGCAGTAAAGCTAAACAATGCAAAGTTTTGCAGAAAGACCTACGCTGGCTGCAGGCTGGCTGTCATGTCCTTGCTTGGCTTCAGAGCAGACAAGAGCAAAAGGGAGGTAGCAATATTCCATATTACGAGAGCAAACCCATCCAAGTAAAGGCCCAGAGGAGAGAAGCCATGCACTACTATACAAATACAATTTCAGACAACTTAAATCACACCTTCTGCAACTTGACTTGCTTTCAGTGACAGTAATCAGAAGCGTTTTAAATATTATTTGATGATACAGTTAGAAATTCATCACAGTAATCGTAGTGGTAGAGTTGGAAAGAAAATAATGGTTTGTCTAGTTTGCATGCAGGAGAGAAATCTGAAACACTGCTTCCAGTTGGAAAGAAGGTGGAACAAGATTCCGTGTGAAACAAAGACATGCCATTGCGTGTAATAATTTCCAACAGGAGTTGACTCTGACTTGTTGGTTCAAACTGGCTAGTCCAATTAGTGGCTATTTCCTTTTGCCCCCTTTGGTTTGGCCAACATAAATCTGATCTGATGGATGGGGCATAAATGGGGATAACTAGCTCTTTTGAAGATACTCAGCAAGTCTAGCTCTGACATGAAGTGCATGTCCAGGGAATGCACAGGCTGCCCTGTGTAGGATAGACAGAACTCATGCTTTTCCAAAGAAGGGAGTCCTCCCCTCAATGGGGTTTTACTGCAAATGCATCTATTTATCTTTTAGTGGCCTTTTTATGCAATGAGTTTAACTATTAAAACTGAAGTTGATATGCTGGAAAGAATGAAACAAGACAAATGTATTCAAGTATCATTTACTTCCCTCTGAGTTAAAAGCTGGTGCACCAACACTGGGAACCATAGGTCTAAACTTCACAGATAAAGGTTAATTCTTTCCACTGTAAGATAAACCAAGTTAAGCTTCTGTTCTCAAGACAGTAAGAGATTTTCCTGATGCCAAACATTTATCAGACTATATTTTCTTGGCTACAACCATGCGGAACAGCTATATTCTTTTTTACTGTGCTTTTACTGGCCTTTTACTGTAATGATCAATGGCAACATACAATAGCTAGATGTAGTCTGATGTGAATCACCATAAACAACTCGAACTATAAACAGACTTCTGAAGAATAAACTCATTCTTGCTTAAATCTCATTAAAATGTTAATAATCACTAGCCTATTCACACCATGTAATAACTGTCATAAAAATGTTTAAAATGAAGAAAAGATTATTTTAATCAAGAATCAACTGATTGCATACTCTTTTTAAACAGATAATATTCTGAGTTGTACAGCACTTCGGTACGTAACGTCCATATTGTAAGTTCCATTCATTTTACAAGGTCATTGACTGCTTCCTCAACTTAGAATTCAGTCATGTCACCTCATTTAAAGCCTCTCAGACATCTTGCTTGGTGGCACTGAAGCTGAACACAAATCTATTGCTGTGGAGGGATAATGTGAAAAATTACAGCTGTCCACACAACATAGGTTACTGATGTAGCCATTATTTACTAATAGTCTCCTTAAAGTAGTTAACACCACTTTTTCTAAAGTAGCACATTGGTTGGAGATTAGTTATTTATTTGATGACAAATGCCAGATTCCCATTAGGAGGTCGGCCAGTATATTAGCATCATCTGCATTCCGACAGTTAATAATCCAAGCTAAGACTTTATTCAGAAGAGTAGCCTTATTTAGAACCATTTTTTGCTCTGTTGTAGTGACGAGGCAAACAGTGCAGAGAAGGAAGAAGGAACCCTTAACAGAGACTGGGGAAGAGCTCAAAGCAAATGCTATCTATAAAGAACACAGGTCAGACAAAACCTAATGGTAGTCGTGTTTCATGAGCAGTTAGAGACCACAGTCAGGAACTGCAACATTTTTTTGTTCATTTTTTGAAAGGTCCCAAGTTGCCTTCATAAAAACTGTAAATATTTCTAATTTAGCAAAGTTCTGTGTATGTAACCTGCCCCCCACATGTAATACGACACAAATTAAACATCTGTGGTTGTTGTGCAATACATGGAGAATAGTTTTCAAAATAATTGTTCTGAATGATACCATTTGAAGTCTAGCTCTTGAAAAGCTAGCCCATAAGTCCATGCAGTACGCTCTCCCTCTCCTGTTACAATTGTTATGGTGAGGACATTGTTTTAGCTCCTTCTTCTTGGTAAATGATTAAATTAATAATGCAGACAACATGAAAAGGTAGCTTGGTGTGAAATAAAGCTTTGGACTTGCTGAAACAGACGAAGGAGCCATGTAGGTTTATACAATATTCAAGAGTTTTTGGTTTTTTAGTATAGAAGTGGAGGATGATTGCAGTAGCACAGATTTGACTTTACTGTTAAAGCTTTTCCACAGAGTTAGCAAGGCCAGTCCACAAGTCTAAGCTATGTATGCAGGTCCTGGGACCTCCACCTTTGGTTTTTCCATGACGGAAGTACATTTCTCAAGCTACAACAACACAAAAGTAGGAAGCAGCCCTTCACCGTTTTGCAAAAGCAAAAATCACATTAAGGATGGAGTATACTTTTCATGCAGCAGTGTGTGTATATTTGTATACAGTTTGGTTTTGCTTGCAAAATAATTGTCAGTTCTTAAAGGCAGCGAGTGCTCGAAGAAGGATTCTCAAAAACCAAATCCTTGCTCAAGAATTCCCACTGAACCTCAAAACATTGTTATGCTACCCCCCCACAGCAAGTGTCCAGTGCGTTTGAGCTCTTCTTCATGTCTGCTTTGGTCAGAACTTAAGGCAGCAAGTTTAGTGCCCAAGAAACATGCATTACACATATATTAATGCAAATATTTTAGGTACTATAAATACCTTAAAACAAATGCGTCCTCTTATCAGTCCATAAGGAACAGGTCCATAGCATCTGGAATCTGTAGAGTTCCTCAGATTATCACCTTCTAACCAAACGTGTCCTTTAGGCACCTATGATTAAGCAGGATTGAATTGAAATGTAAAGAGAAAACGGAATAGAAAGGTATTGCATATGGTTTGCCTTACGTAGCCTAATTTCTGCTTTCTGTATTTCATGACTGTATAATAAACTACTTTTTATTTTATCTAATAAAACACAGTGCCAGATTTGGAGGGATGAGAGGGAGTGCTCTGAAGTATCTGTTCTATCATGTTCTCAAAAAACAATGGTTTGCAACAAAAAATCCAAAATGAAGATGTAAGAGGTTAGACCAATGTGACAGGGTCATTAATTTAATAGACTTCAAAAGAGGTCATTAGGATGTTGACTGAAAATCTGCCCTCCTGTCGCAGTAACAGCATGAACAGGGCAGCCACACACTCATCAACATCCTGGGGCCAGCACCAAGGCTAGACCTGTTAGTAGATTCATGATGAACTAACTGGTAATTGATTGTGACATCAATTACGAATAATCTCATCATTTTATCGGAGTAGGCTTGTCAAAGTTCTAATTAAGATCACAGTTCATTCTATGCGCAGGCAGAATCCACAACACATTATATTGCAATAATGATGATCACAAAACAGCAAATCCCTTTTTATAATTTGAAAATTAATGATGGTGACCTTATACTATATGACAAAGACCTTTCATTGCCTATATATATTATGCCTTAACTACATTACAGACCGTAGAAGAACGGCATTCAGTGACTGACCCGATGACAAAATGAGAAATAGCAACATAGCTGTGTTAGTTAGCTAGGTAAGAGTACAAAGCTTCTGTAAGTGGAAAAGTCACCATGATTTCTCTTCAACTCAGATTTCTGCTCAGAAAATATGCCCCTACTTTGACTTTTGTAGGAAACGCTTTAGGTATAGATAACCTCTTACAAGTTACCAAATAAAACATTTAGTAATTGGTTTTCTAATCTTTCCAAAATTCTACAGCAGCCTGAAAAATTAAAAGTAGCAACACATTTCCCATCTAGACAGTATTTGACATGGACCTTAAAGGTAATGGGCATTTTTCCAAAACCAAATACGTACGTGGAATGTTACTATGCCCAGAATTCAGAGCAAAATACAGAGAAACGAGAATCACAGACCTCAAGAAAAACAGTCTGAGTACTGTCAACATCAATATTTTAGAAACAAGCCCCACAGTCTCTTAAATACAGTCGTCTACGTATGCAGAATTTTAGGATAACAGACTGAAAAGACTGAAATATCACTCCAGTAAAGCTTGGATGTAAGCCATTAAGACTAAAACCAAGTCCCTTTCATAAGCATTTGAGGAAAACAGAATGAAGTGCAACCAGTGGTACTTATAGGGATCTGGCCAGGGAATACTGGCAATCTTATGTTTCAGTAGGCCTTTTTTGGCTCTTTGCTTAGCCATGTTCCTGCCTGCCTAGGAGCTGAGGGTGGCAACCTATCCAGCTGTCCTTTTGTTGAGCTGTGGCAAATGTTTAACATACTGACTGAGAACCAGTAGTTTGGTTTGTTTCCAACAGTGGCATAAAAAGAAGCTGATAAAGAAAAGCATATGTCAGCCTGTCCATCTCTCCATTTCTCTAGTGTCTGGGATACGTGCGTCAGGCATGTCAGAGCGTAAATCCCTGCCTACTCGCACTAGAATCTGTATGCAGAGCTGCTGACCAGGAATGCTTAAGCCTTTTTGAAACCTGCTGCTGCTGTCTTCTTCCATAGTCACCTGTGTAAAGGACTGCCTTGTTCTGCTGGAGCTGGAAAAGTATGGTTGATTTGTCCATTGTTGGCAGACGCAGAGGAGTCCGGCTACATTAAGCAGGACAAAAGGGTCAGTTTGCAGTAAGCTGGGAGATGGCTTCCACTTGGGTCTTCTTCCTTCTACCTAATAAGTCAGGTAAGTAGGTCCAAAGCACCTTGGTACTTCTCAGCCGAGTGCACCCACCTCTCTTTTTATGCAGCAGTTGCAAATCGAGCTTGCAGTAATGATGAATTAAAACCTGCAACCCGCATGGCATCTTCAAGTTCTCTGTGGTACTGTTTTCCTCATGTCAGAGCTAACAGAAGTGATTGATGTCTCCATCACAAAACAACACTCTGGTCCATCATTACCTGCCCTTCACAGAAAGTATACCAGTACGTAGAAACAGTGCTGCTACCAAGCCAGCCTTGAGGCTGAAAACAGATTCACCTTCATCATAAAAAAATTTGTACAGACAGATCTTTTTACAAAACACACAATATAATCCAATTAAAGAGCAGTGAGTTTGAACCGCAACATCAGAGAGGAGTAAAATGTGAACGTAATTTAAATCTTAAAAAGCATTTTAACTGTTGCATCGTAAAGGAATTCTTAGTTCAAACATAAACTTACTGGGGATGTGTAGTAGCAATGCAGAGCTAGCATCATCAGTCATATTAATTTAAAGGCTAACCTAGGAAAAAGGCAAAGGAAGCTACCCAAGTGATCATTAAAAAAAATTACCACTAAGTCATTTTTTAAAGAAGAATCTGTCCAGATACAAATGACCTGCAAAGCACACGCAGCTACATAGGCCAACAATTTCTGACAGGTCTCTGAGAATGTGCTGCCATTCCTATTTCCCTCAAGATTTGTGAGATGAAGTCAGTGCAGAATGTCCAGCAGCAATAGTTAGGGTAGCTGGACGTCCATCTGCTTATGAGCAGTGCACCCACCTGGAGCACTCACTGTGCCCACACCTTACACAAGGCTCTGCTTTTCAGGTGCAATGCAAACATCTCATGCCCAGCAACTTCCAGAATTACAGACCACCAAACTACTGTCACTTTGAGAGACTGTCTTATCTCAGCAATTGCACAAGAAGAGAATCATGAATTACCACAAAAGGAAACTTTTTTAATGAAATAAGGCAGCAAACTCTCATTAACATTTCACATTTCTAAGAGCACATCACTTCTTGTAACATGCTACCGTTTCATACACAGGAGCCTACAGCTCCTGTTCTACTTAATGGCCTGCTTCTAGACCTTCCCATCTTCCATGCACCCAAAGTCCAAAAAAGCTTAAAAAAAAAAATTAAAGAAAAAAAGCACAAAAACTTTTGCCACTTTTGGTATACCACTTACTACTTCTAACATGACTAATAATTACTAATTAATTACCTAAATAAGATGTTCATAGTTTTCATTTCAGATAGAACGTCTGCAATAAGTATGTACCTAAATCCTGAATTTCACCTTTTCTGGTAACTTTTGTAGTTTCCCATTGAAGTATGACAGGGCCATACACCTCTAAATCTGTACTGTCACATGTAGGATTAATCTAGAGATACTGCAGTACAGTACCTTTGTACGATGCCTGTCCATCACCCAGGCACCTCACTACGACCCGGAATTAAGATGAGGAGTACAGGAATCATACAGGTTACTTGAAAATGTTAAACCAAACACAGGTGACATGATACACGTGTAAGCAAAGGAAAAAAGAATTGGCTGCAACACTTGCACTTTTGGTTTTATACACTGACGGGCTCCTGCTCCTTTTTTTGACAGTGGGAAAGCTGCTCACTTGACAATTCACAACGCTGTTGCATTTTGGTGTCTACAGGTGATGGACTGTAAGAAATACCAGTTACCATCGCTACGCAGCAGCACATTGTGAATACAGTAATGTTTTCAGAAGTATTGCCAAGAACGCCAAAAGCATTCAGCCCAGCTGGATGGTATTTTAGACGTCACAGAGGCCAGCTCTAAGAAGCCCAGGTCCCACAAGCCTGACAACTGAATTTTCACAGAACTGGTGGCTTGCATGACAAAGCAGCAATCCCACAGCAGCACAGGTCCATCCAAACCACGCTCCCTCTGATCTCCCGCAGCCTGTCTTTGCCTCGATAGCCCCAGTGCCTCTGGTTTTGTGCAGATTATCTGAGGATTTATTTTCAAGGAACAACAGCTCCAAGGGAGAACCGGTTATCTGAGGTGCAGCTTATATGCATGAGAATACGGACGCTGATTAGACACATGCCTCTTCCTCTTCTCCCTCCCAGAGCTGGGAGGGCCCTACGACAGGAGCAGATAGAGCAGAAAGGGAAAATAATCATTCAGAGGAGCCCAGCTTTTATTGGTGGCTTATAGTGTTTCAGTTCGGATAAACCTCACTCACTGCAGAACCAGGGGATGAAACAGACACGGTGTTTACTGCAACACCAGAAAACCGAGACACTGCAAGTAAGAGAGGAAATCATAAAATCTGTCCCTCCCCCCCCCCCAAAAAAAAAAAAATCACCATCTAAATGAAATTCCTGCTGTGTTTTATTCTTTTTGGGTCTGGGGGTCGTGAGGGAGTATTTTGGGGGATCCCAAAGATGGATAAACAGATTTGTAATGAACAAGTGAAGAACTATAAACATGAATCTCTCACAGTGTCTCATTTTGGAATTCCGAGCAGTGTGTGTGCCAAAGAACACCAGTACGTACAGTCAGCTGGGAGCAGATGAAGCTTGAACTCTTATAAGTTCACAGGTATTCACATCACCTCCAGCAATATCAGAGTTTTAAACCTCAGAAGAACTAAATCATTCCCATCTTTTCTTTTCAGTTCAGAGGCTTCCTTCTTGAGCTGTGATAAGAACTAATCTCAGTGCCGGACAAAAGAATAAAGTCTGTAAGTTCTCATCTGTCCCTACTAAGGTCTATTTAAGTGCCTCCTACTTTGGTAGAAGCAACAAATGTAATTGCTTCATGGCCTGCGGGTGTTCATTTAACAAAAGAAGCTTTTGTGAATAAACCACAGGTGTTACCTTTCTTGATTAAAGTGAAATATGATGAAAGAATCTACAATATCAAGTGACAAATTTACTAAATACTGATTAAATTGCCTTATTTAAGTAAATTGCATCTATTTGGGATAAAAGATACAGCACAGAAATGCAAGAGTCGAGTTTTCTCACTTGATACTTAGAATCTCACATAACTTTCCTTAATCCTTTATTTATTAACACGTAGCTAAGAGTGAATAACACTTAGCAGATGCTGTT